TGGCCTCGAACTTTCGAGTGGACTGTAAAAAGTGGTCGATCCTCCATATGAGCGAGGGCTTTCGAGGGCGTATCGAGAGTGACCGTGGCAGCACTTTGCACTTCGTTGACCCAAGAAACCAAGTCGCATCGTCACAGTTTTTTCAAGTGTCAGATGAAAAAGAAAACCACGAGAAAAAAAGAAACGGGATAATGGAGGCAAGGCCGAGGTCATTTTGCACTGCATCACCCAGAAAGGGCGAGGATCGGGTGCACGTGTCGGACACGTGTAGGCCCAAGCCCATCACCCGTGAACAGTACCTCCACCCTTTTAATTTTACCCTCGATTGAAAAAGTACGAGAGAAAATGTATACAGCCTCTGAAATGGATTTTCATCATATTTACATTACCCCGGAAACTATTTCTTTTCGGCTTGTAGTTGTAACCACTTTTTCATTACTTTCAATGGGTAATAACGTTCATGTTTTTGGTTATTTAATCCAATTTAGATATTTATATGATCAGCAACAAAACACATTGAATAATGAGTAGCCGAAATAATCATTAGTTGTATCATCACGATTTACATTACTTACCCCGGTTCGTGTGTATTTTCGCGTGTACTCATTGTCGCGTAAAAATGGTCGTGATAAAAGTGTTCACGGTTTTTATATAGACGGGAAAACCTTTTTTCATTCCCGAAAATCCCCGCAGCAAATCCCGAAGGGTGCGAAAACGCGTGCACTTGCGATTAGACTACTATATCGAATGCGTGGTTCGTATACCGAAATTGCAAAGTCGCCGAGCTCTCGTGTAACGCTGTAATCAGATCACTTTAGGTGCGCGTGTGCTGAAACGAACGTTGAATGACCCTCGCCAATGTCAGGCCACGCTACAAGTGCCGTTTAACGATGCAGACGTTTATGCACCCCAAATCGGGTCGAATCAACATTTACTCAAAACAGGGGAGGCCCAAGACCTTCGAATCCACCGCGGCACTTTTTTTTACCGCAACCGGTACGATGTTACCAATATTTACTTGATACGATTTAAGACGTATGGAACAGCTCACATTACTCTAAATAATATCGACTTCACCATCGTACGCAAGACCTTGAATAACGAAAACCCATTCGCTCTTTTACAAGATTTTAAGCTATTCAATCTCGACCGTGTGCTTTACAACGGCAATTCATAACAACGTTCATGCGCATTTTTTACTTATGGGAACTTTTTATCGACCGGGGAAGAGCGATAAAATTTCCCGCGACTACGTAAAATATGCGACGAAGAAAGCACTATTGCTCTTGGGGCGAAGAGCCCCGTAGGAGAGGAATATGTTTCCGTTGAGTTGCTAAACCGACTATACATCTCTCTTGACACCTCACTGACGGACCGATTCCGGCACGATACAAGTCCATTGGACTAGGGACTTGATGTCTGGTCTAAACGTATCCGATTCGCGCGTGACTTACAATCATGCTGTCCCCTTGAACCTAGTCTGGGGAATTTCACACGCAAAGTCACGAACCACCTATATCGCCTGATTCCGCCATGGCGACGCATTTCCAAAAGGGTATCGTATGGCTACCAGACATCGCGGACTTTCTCCAGGATTCGAGGAAGTCTAGGCAGACTTGGAAAAACGAACCTTTGGGAAATGCTGTCCTAAAGTCAGCCAATCAGGGCCCAGCATCCCAAGTGCATCCCTTCCTGGGTTTCGACAGAGGAAAGGGAAGAAAGTGCATCGCGAATGTAACTTTCCACATTTTTTAGACCAGACTCAACTAGGACTTCGAACCGTTCGGATTTTTTGTCTCCGCACTGGGACTTAGTGCGTAACCCGGACACGCGACTGTACCGCGAATTCACACCGACTAATTGTATTTTCTCTATCCGTTGTTATTAGTACAATAAATCGTTATTGTTGTATTTATTTAAATTCGTGCGTGGTGGAAATTCAACGAACCCTGAATTTACCCGTCAGGAACTTAACTCAGCGCTCATTTCTAAACGGCGCAAACAGTGTTTACCTTTTTAACTCTTTACGGACGAGTGTCGGCAAATGGCCGTCCAAAAGCCTTTATAAAGGAAAAGTCGCGTCCGCAAAGGGTTAATACAAATTTATGTTCTTTCGAACACTCGACCTAAAGCCGATACAGAGTGAGCGAACAATGGTTCGCCAAGATGTGTTTAGTTCTCCAACGATGTTCGCATCAATTGCCAGGCACGACAACCAATTGAATATGGTACTCCTACGTTAATACCTAAACCTGACGAGATCTAAAAGTTATCTTTTTGGAAGCTTTATCCGCCAGTGAGATCGGTAACGACTTGGAATTTTCAATTACACATCGGGCTTTCATATAACTATTCCTTCCAAATGTACACATTCTAGCGAGTCCACATTAAGGTGAAGTGAAACACGTCGAGGAACTTGATCGAGTTCGATAAAGAAGATTTTTCTAAATGCCTACGTTGCCGACATTCGTTTTTATATTGACAGTTGTGTGGAATTATATTGGGTATTGTACCAAATGGCATACTCCACCTGTCGTTTTCGTACAATAATTATAAAGAAATTAAAGTAAAACTCCAGAAATCCTCTGGATTCATGCTTTCTGGGGCCCTAATTGATTGCAGAGGAACTCCCTGCGCCATCTGTGATTTCCAGGTCAATTAAATCTTCTCTCCGAGACTTCGCATTATCATCGTTTTGGCATAGAAGCGCATACAACACTTATTTTGCCTTTGTCCCGTTCAAATGCGAGTTTATCGATTACCAGAGTGTTCTAAATTGTCGTAAAATTGTCCTGATCCTTTCGATTCTCATACCAGAGCCTTCGATAGTTGTATATTGATCGAAATATTAGAACTCGACGTCTGGTCTGGGCTGAGTTAAAAAATTTGTTTGAAAAATCCACATTTTGAATTTGTCAGGACAATTCTTAGATGATCAGGAGTGATATGTCAAAATTTCGGCCAGTTTGGTCTAATACTCTTAAAAAAAAGTGTTGTATTCGAATCGACTGATTTGAAGTGTGTTTCACTTCACCTTGAAACGTTCCAGATTCCTTCGGTTTAACGATCCCTCGGGATCGAACTAAGCTTCCAGGGAGACAGCTGCACCGACGCTTCCTCTTCCAGAAACGACGAGTCTATATAGAAAGAGAGAGCGAGAGAGAGAGAGAGAGAAAGGTCTCCGAGGGTGGCATCGGAGTCCCATTGCCATCTCTATAGCCCTGTAGCCCTACGGCCAGACACTCCGCGACTCCGGTCCGTATTACGTGCGCTGATTCGGTAGGTGGAGGCGAAGGAAGACCCGGAAGAGAGAGAGGGGCCGCAAAGATAGGAGGGCGGAGGGAAAAGGACCGGAACCAGATGGCTCGGACTTTCGGGGGAGAGGGCCAACCTGCAAGCGGGTTCTTAACTTTCGAGGAAGCTGAGCCGAGGGGCATTCCACCGGAAAAGAAAGACCCAACGATGGACTAGACCCGTCACTGTTATTTATAAAAATTTCGTGCCACCCCCAGAGACACGCTTCAATTTGTACGCGTTGTAACTCTCCAGGATTACCGTGACCAAGACATTTCCCCCGGTTTGCAAAAAAATCGTTCGACAAGAGAAACGTCTTTCTTCGCCGGAGATTTCTTTTACCCTAGTTTCTTCTCGTTTAGGCAAGAGAAACTGCCAAAAAATTGTAAATAACGTTAAAGAACGTTAGCGATGACTGTAAATATTTAAATAAATATCTTCGATGTTTGATTTTAATTGAAGTTTGGGTTTAATGGGATGTCGGCTAAAATGTACTATTTATAAGTTTTGTAGTTTTCTTTCTCACGGGGAGTGTACGCGTTTTCATGTAGAATTATTACATTTAACGTATAAAAGTAATTCTGGTATAAAATTGTTTTCGACAAGGGAAACGTCTTTCTTCGCCGGAGATTTCTTTTACCCTAGTTTCTTCTCTTTTAGACAAGAGAAACTGCCAAAAAATTATAAATAACGTTAAGGAACGTTAGCGATGACTGCATTCTCTCTCACGGGGAGTGTACGCGTTTTCATGTAGAATTATTACATTAAACGTATAAAAGTAATTCTGACATAAAATTGTTTTAGTACGGTGAACCAACTGCTTCCTATTACGTGAACATTCTTTAGAAAGAAACTTCGACTAAAGTAAACGGCACTATTAGAGCTGTCCGTGCTTGTAATACAGCCGAGTTTGTGCAATCGGTAATTATTAAGTACGTTGACGTACGTGCATTATTCGTCAGAGACGAAAACGCCCACTGGCCTAAATTCTAACCCGCAAAATTGTGGGGACGGGAAAGTACCTACGACCTGTTACGAGTACACCACACAGAATGTAGCGAAAAGAGATGAGCATCTTTTGAAGTCTGTTATTTTCATAACCCTCCACCAAGAAGTTCACATCTCGGAGAGAAATGTTTCCGAATCCATGACTCCTTGTACTTTCTATTATTTCTTCAAGATAAGAGTAATACGCTTTTAACCGTCCATTTTAATTAAAATCCGGAAAAGAAGTTATTACAAGTCCAAACATAAAAAGCAATTGCTATTATTAACGTAAATTATTATTATATGAAGTAACACCTACACTGTTAAAAAAAAGTTCATAAAATGCATTCACTTGTAACACATAGGGTTGTCGTAAAATTCTACACTTAGTGTCTGAAAGGGTAATTAGTATACATTCAATATGAATTTCTAAACAAATTCGTGATTTTATGACATCATATAATTTAGTGATAATGCATAGGAAAATAAATAAAATGTTACAAAATTAGTACATCGTGTCTAAATAAAACTTCTGAAAACGTAATATTGAAATACATTTTTTTTTAACAGTGTACGTTCTTGCATAAATATGGTCGGATCCTATCTCTGCGTTATGAGCGTGAATTTCGGTCAATGGGCGATTTCAAAAATAGCGAATGACGACTGCGGTGCAGCCAGTTGAGAACTGAGGTCGATAGAAACATATATGAGCAACTCACCCTGACCGGAGCACGAAAGAGCGAGGCGGTCGCAGCGTGAGGATTAGGATGGTGATGATGGCTGTGGTGGTGTCCGTGGGGATGGTGACCGTGACGGGTGTCAGGACCACCCCCCGCTGCCGCCTGCTCCGCCTGGACCGACATCGCCGCGCGGGCTTGGCGCTCTCGCTCTCGAAGCCGGTCCCGGTCGACGCTAAAACAAATTTCAAATTATTATTAATCACTGTCAGAAAAGGACCCATCCGCTCGGTGGATTTCGCGAAACCGCTCTTGTCTCGTATGAAAGGATAATTTTCTTAATCGTTGGAAAATTGATCATCGTGCACGGGGTTGCAGCTTGGGTATTATTAAATTTAGATTTGATTATTATTAAATAAATTTAATAACATAAGTACTCTTTCGAGAATTAAAATTACAGGTAATTAAATGTGACATTTAGGATGAAATAATTTTGTTACAATATTTAAACAATTGAAACAACTTTTTTTAGTAGCATGTAGGAATCCGAAACGAGGGGGAATTCTCAGGTAACATAAGTGTAATGTAATTCGACTGTCGAGAGAAAGGAATACTGCCCTTAATTTCGAGAACTTAAGATGATGTGAATGTGGCATCGAAGAGGTTTTGTTTATAAAACTTTTCTCCCAACTCGATTTACCGAATAGTTTGAAACTTTACAACGTGAATAGGGAGATTATAAGGAAGTTCCTGAAACACATAGAATTTAAATTCTTTTCAAATTTGTTTACAGGTATTTTAAAAATAGTTTCATGAGAAATGAAATTTCCCGAGTTTCAAGACCTACCTTAAGGTCTCCATATTCACGTTTTAAAGTATGAAACGATTTGACCCAATTCGTGGAAAAGTTTTATGAATGATTGAGCTTTCGAATGCCACTTTCACACCCCCTTAAGTGTGCAATTCTGCAACGATCTAACCCACTAATGTACACGCAGGTTTAGAAACTCTGCCAAATTTCTGTTTTATGAGGCCATCGCTTACCGACAGCATTTTCAATTTCCGAAGCTGTCAACGTTGCGATGGGATACGACCCTGCCAAACATAACCTCAAAAAACTATCTTTTGTAGATGAGCGCAAAGCGCGCCTCGTGCGACAATTCTAAACTAACATTGTTCGTCGAGATGTTAGGTCGCAAAATCTTGTTTAATGATATGTTAATTCATCATGTCCGTCTAACAAGATAAATATACGGTAAATATATTCAAAATTGCATAAGGGCGAGAGACATATATTTATCTGTTTTACCATACCCTATCGCGACAACTCCGATGACTAAAAGTTACATCAAAATGGCCATCGCTAAATGATAGTCCCCTTCCATAGCAGTTTCAAGACCTGAACGTACGACCGTGGCCTATACCTTGATTGACCTTAACAGGAGATGACGACCACCTCGGTGTCCGACGTACGCTAGTAATTGTTGTTAACTTCATGAACAAAGGTTGAGAGGTCTTCAACGAATAAGGTCAAGGCCTGAATCGATTCTCGCGATGCTACACAATACGATAAAACAGAAAATACAAAAATCGTCTAGTAAATAATTTAAGGATTATATTAATAAAAGCGTATTTTTATTTAGAACACTTTTATGCTAGGAACCGGTCAATAGGCTACAGGAGATCGCACAAATTCTCTACGGATGATAATGAGATCCTTCGCTCGTCCTAGAGCATTACTATTAATGACTCTGTTTTTATACATCAAAAGTAAACACTTTCCGAAAGTTTGTTATATTTTTCTCAGTATTATATATTATACCCTATCTATATTATATGCTTCCATAATGATTTGTCTGGTATACCAAACAAAAATTAGACTAAACTAACAGGCCACGAATCCGTCTATTTCTGCTATTCTATTATTCAAAGCCGAACACAATTAATCCTTGTACAACCAGAAATAGTCACACTTTTCCCGTGTAAATTTTATCCGCACATCGTTCAATCACCACGCAATGTGTATAACAACTTACAAGTTGTTAGTAAGAATCTTTTTCCTTATCATTTGGAAGCTGATCGTCCTTGGACCAATTTTTTCGTCGATAGGCACACCAGGACGTTAGATCCCTCTTCGCATCGTCACCCGTGAAAACACAAGGAAAATCGTCCTCCTCACTTTCGATGAAGGACTGGCGACAGAGTCAAGTTGTTCGCCTCGGAAAGCCGAAGGAACTGCGCTCAAAAGCCAAAACCAAGCAAAAGCGAGAAGAAGGAGAAGCCGAGGTTAAATCCCCGAGTGTACCTGCCGCCATAACACCTGTTGGGTGCGTTTTCAGCTGACGTGGGGGAGGGGCTAGGGACGTTATCGCGTGGAATAGCGCCGGGCAGACGGGTGCGACGTAAAGCGCGCAACGACATAGCCATTAAATCGTTTACGCAGCCAAGGAATCGTCTTCTGGGGAAGGTCGCCGACCGTGAACGAATCGCGCGTCTCTCGGTAACACGACTTCCCTGCTCCGGATAAATTTCTGCGCCCTGGACAAGCGTACGTATACATAAATCGACCCATTTAAAGTGAAGTGAAACACGTCGAGGAACTTGATCAACGTCGATAAAGAAGATTTTTCTAAACGCCTACGTTGCCGACGTTCGTTTTTATATTGACAGCTGTGTCGAATTATATTGTGTATTGTACCAAATGGCATATTTCACCTGTCGTTTTCGTACAATAATTATGAAGAAATCGAAGTAAAACTCCAGAAATCCTCTGGATTCATGCCTTCTGGGCCCTAATTGACTGCGGAGGGACCCCCTGTGCCATCTGTGATTTCCAGGTCAATTAAATTCTCACTCCGAGACCTCGTATTCCCATCGTTTTAGCAAAGAAGCGCATACAACACTTTTGTTGCCTTTATCCCGTTCAAATGCGAGTTTATCGATTACAAGAGTGTTCTAAATTGTCGTAAAATTGTCCTGACCCTTTCGATTCTCATATCAGAGCCTTCGATAATTGTATATTGATCGAAATATGAGAGCTCGACGCCATTTTGGTTCTGGTCTGGACTGAGTTTAAAATTTTTTTTGAAAGATCCTAATTTTTAATGTGTCAGGACAATTCTTAGCTGATCAGGAGTGATGTGTCAAAGTTTTGGACAATTTGGCCTAATACCCTTAAAAAAAAGTGTTGTATTCGAATCGACTGATTTGAAGGATGTTTCACTTCACCTTAACGCCGCGATTGCGTGGTACGGGAATAATGGCACGTAAATGTCGTTTAAAAATGCACGTTCCACGTTTTCAGGAACATAAATCGATAGGTACAAGGTTTATAATGATTGAGGTCGGATTGAAAAGTAGGGTCAGCGAAAGTCTCGAGGTACAAAGTCCTCGGAAGAGTTTCGTGAATCGAATCGATGATACATTCTCGGATAATGTAAGTAGTGTAATTAATTTCAAGGAAAATTTCCGCCCCGCGTGGGATATAATTAGATTACGGAGACGTAATATAAGCGTTACAGAGGGACCGCTTGATCTTAACCCTCGGGCGAAGCTAAGTATACCTAGCTACAAATCGGGCAAGAATTCAAAAGTAAACGCCAAAACTATCGGTCGACTGAACGAACCGAGGTTACTCGCGATGACTTTTTTTCTAATGCAAAGGTTCTACGAATTCCATCGTAATCTCCAAGTGGATTACCACGGTTCTTCCTTTATCGGAATCTACGGTGTCCCATCGTCTATCCGGACGATTTTTCTATGTATATAAAGCTGGAATTGCCACATTAACACAATTCAATAAAATTTATTGCTAATTCATTGCTATTTCATTGCACAAGAAAACAATTTTTTGCACTTATACTTTTCCGAAAAATGGTGGCGAAGTCAGCTTTATATAAAGCTAGCACTGCCACGATAAAAAAACAATTATTAAGTAAATGTTCATCGGTGAATTACGTACCAGAATTTATTTCTAATTAATTGCTCGCGGAAAAACCAAATTTCAATTTTTTTGCTCATCCCTAAAGGGGTGAATCGCCACCCCTAGTGATGATCGCAGGACAGAAACATGAAAAACATGGGAGAATCGAACTATTTCTTCACGTTGGAATTAATTGCTAATTAATTGCTCCGAGAAGAACCTAATTTCGTATTTTTTGCACAACCCCTAAGGTGGCCATGCTGGGGCGACATGAGGGGTTGGCCTACTACCTTAGGGGTTGTGCAAAAAAAATTGAAATTTGGTTTTTCTGCGAGCAATTAATTAGCAATAAATTCTGGTATATAATTCATCGATGATAACTTAATAATTGTTTTTTATTGTGGCAGTGCTAGCTTTACATAGAGCTACCATCGCTACCATTTTCCAGAAAAGTATAAGAGAAATTTTTTTCTTGTGCAATAAAGTAGCAGTAAATTAGCAATATGTTGTGCAACAAATTTTAATGAATTGTGCTAAAGTGGCAATTCCAGCTTTATATACATGATTTTTCTTATTTTACGGACATTTACCTACAGACGACAAACGTAGCTGCATGTTGCAAGTACATGTACGGTCAGCATGGAACTTGAGCCGCCTTGAGGAGTACTCCGTGAGATACGAAGTAGATATCAAATTGCGCGGAATTAGCGGACACGCACTCTCCTTGGACTTGCAGGTATTTTGCGCTCTGCGGAACGACTACGCGGAAGCACGCTTCCATGGCTGTCGTCAGATAGACCTATCTAAGGCGATCTCAGGAATGCTGATCCTGCTCGGACGGCAGCGACAATTAAGCTCGAGAATTCCGAGGTGTTGACGCCAAACTGGCACAAGGTCAATGAGCCTTTCCGCGAATCCACGACAAAATGCGGAATAAGACCGCGTCTCGTGTTTAAGCTGAAGTGAAACACGTCGAGGAACTTGATCGACGTCGATAAAGAAGATTTTTCTAAATGCCTACGTTGCCGACGTTCGTTTTTTGGGTCGAATTATATTGGATATTGTACCAAATGGCATACTCCACCTGTCGTTTTCGTACAATAAATATCAAGAAATCGAAGTAAAACTCCAGAAATCCTCTGGATTCATGCTTTCTGGGGCCCTAATTGACTGCAGAAGGCCCCCCTGCGCCATCTGCGATTTCCAGGTCAATTAAATTTTAACTCCGAGACCTCGTATTCCCATCGTGTTAGCACGGAAGCGCACACAACACTTTTTTTGGCTTTATCCCGTTCAAATGCGAGTTTA